ATTAGCATACGAGGCACAATTATGCATACAGTATAATAAACCATATGTGGTCAGCGTATCGAATGATCAGATTCTCTTCAGGGACAGTCACGTCCCCATGCGCGGCCCTGATCAAACGGTTGGATGGGACTGCGTGCACCTAAGCTCTCGAAATATTATCCCGATGACCAGAGCACTGTGAATCGACTCGGAAATTTGCCGCCGCCGCGCCATGCTGAGAACTATAAGATGCTACTGCCATCTCAAACCTGGATCCAGAAACCGACGCCTGCCACCCCTCCTTTTTGCCTGACGCTGGTTGAAGCTACCTCAGCAATCCACAAACTCAGAAATGACCAGGCAACCGGACCTGACATTCTACCACTCAACTGTCATCGTTTGGATGTCGACTGCTCTCCACCATCAGTCGAAGAAATTCGAAGAGCTGCATGACTCTGCCGAAGCTCTAAGCCCTGCGGCCACCACAGAGTTGGTACGGATGCGAAAACTTTCAAAAAATAGATCTACCTAGTTTTCAGCAGCATTTGACACATCAGTGACTGGAAGAAAGAAATGCGTGATCGTCCCAATTTAAAAAACTAGTTGTCCCGGCAAATGCACCAGTGTTCGAGGGGTAACTCTCTCGCCTGTGTTAGATAGAGAAGGTGTTCATGTGAATTATCCGTGGACGATTGAAGAAAGCCATCAATCATTCGTTGCGAACGAATCAAGCTGGCATCCGCAGCGGACACTCACGTACGGACAACATCTTCGTGGTAAAAGAACAGTGGAACCGTGACGGCGATTCCAGCTGTTCTGGTATGTTACGTTCTTGGACTTCCGGGCATCCCTCGATGCAATACTTCACTAGACTATGTGGAGTATTATTCGACTCTATGGTATCCTACAGACGATGCTAAGTCTGATAGAAACTTGTACCACGAACCGAAGGATCATTATCAGAATGGTTTTATATGACCAACAGAGCTCGGCAAAGCGAGTTGCTCTCTCCTTTGTTGTTCACTGTCATTACGGACTTCGTAATGCAGAAGTGCGTAGTCCCAAATGTTAAAGAAAGACCAACAGTCAGTAAGCGATGTGGCTTGATGTATCCGGTCGTATTTTTAACAGACCCTGAGTATGCTGATGACGTGATGCTGCTAAGGGGTTCTGCAGGCGGCCTAGGACACTGTTTGAAAGTGTGTGCAACACGGTTATGGGAATGAGACTGGAAATGAACGCCATGAAAACGAAGATCATGAGAGCACTCGTCGTGACCGACAGATCAAGGAATATTTGGGATGATTTTCGAGCATTTTAAGTACTTTGGAACAGTGCTGGCTAACGATGGTGCCATAGATCCTGAAGTGAAGCAGCGCATCGGCCTCATAGCCTCGAAGTTCGACAGGCTGTATGAATTAAGGGAAGATCAGACTATAAGAACTGGTAGGAAGATCATACCATTCTAAAAGCATCCGCATTCGCGGTGCTAATGTTGTGGTTTGGAAATATCAGCAGTCTTTAAATCTCACGAAACTCGTCTGGGCATCTTCCAACAACATTGTTTATGAAGTTAGATGGTTCTTTCGCGAGTTCCACGAGGTTCCACGAACAAACAGGTGCTGAAGACCAGCGGTTTGAAAGAAACTGTCTGAAGAACTCAGAGATCGGCGCTTTGCTTGGTTTGATAAAACAGCCTGAGAACCGTCGACTGGCTGCCGACGCTTCGGAGAAAAACATAAAGGCAGGAAGCAACTCCTTGAGGTCGATTTGTTTGCGACGAGGAATGGACTTTTGCCGCAGCTTTAAACATAGCGCAATATCAATTTTTTGTCATTTCTA